AGCACTCTCATTTGTGACACTGAACCTGAGATATACAATAAATATACTTATATATGTATGTATATTAAAGAGGTGTACAAAGAAAACTATAGGTTTAATTAAATTAAAGGTATTTTTATTAAATGAACGAATAATAAATACAAGCTGAATCATTTTCTTTATGCATTACCGTTTAACGCCGACTTTGAGACCTTGCGTTGTAAACCAACTGATAAAAAAAATAAGATTATCTAGAATTTTGTAGCATATATAGTAATAAATCATAACGTTCAGTCCATTGTGGGAAAGTAGCATCATCTACGGTTTTCTCAATAATCTCCATTATCTTTTGAACTGTCTGATTTACCCTGTTAGTAAAAAAATGAAAATTAATATATATTACATTATAATAAACATCATTATAACTGACACACATACCAAGCATTTAGAAGTTCATTAAATTCATTAATTTCTGCTTTTGCTCTTGTATTAACAACTTTCGATGAGTTCAGAAGTTCAAGTGTATTATAATTATTCTCTTCGTACATTTGTGAAGAGGACATGAAATTTACTTTAGACGATTCAACTAGATTTGTATCTCCTTCGATTTCTAATGATTCAAATCTTTTATAGGCAAACATCAAAATTAAATTCTTATAACATTCTATTAAAGAATATATCGGTGTCTGGATAAATGGGAAATATAATGTAACATGTGAAACTCTAGAAGCTGGAACTGAAATAGAAGCTTCACTGAAACAACTCTTTACGTGCCTGAAACATAACATATATATTACTTTATATATATAGCTTGTATTATAATTATTTTAACTAGGATGACATGAAACCAATCTTACCTGTAAACGCCAATATCTCCTTTTAACATCACTTTCCTTAAAGCGTTCAAATCTAAAACATCATAAAATATATCTAATTCGGTAGTTAAATTGTTGTTCAATACTGTTGAGTCATAACCGTCTGCTCGCATTGCCAATATTCTTTGCAACTCTAAATGTATCTTTTCTCTCGTTTTCATGAGAAATACTGGTGCAGATTTTAAAAGACCTATGGATTGCTGTATGTCTTGTATATATCCTGCCTGCAATTAATTTGTAATATTGATTACATGCGATTACAATGCGATATCAAAAAGCTGTATAAATATCGCAATGATTAAAGAATGTTAACGTACAATTTCAGTATCGATATATTCAATTTCTGATGTCAATTGTGCTAGTTCAACTGCAATGGTCTCATCCTCATACAAATTGCCACAAATTTTCTCAATTTCTACTTGTAAACTTGTTTGCTCTGTTTCTAATTTTCGAACTTCCAGTGTTAATGCTAACCACTCACTTACATCTGCATCATCTGAAGCTGTCTAAAATCACATAAAACATAGTACAAAATTTGATATTGAAATTACAGAATGTTTAGGTGATGTTTAATGTACCTCAATTTTTTCTATAAATTCCATTACATTTTGTTGATAATTATTTGCTCTCTTTTTATGGATTAATTGTCTGGAAACCATACAAATATGCTGTCCATATATCCTAGCTATACCAATATTTATACCTTTCTCATCACTACATTTGGGTTTTGCAATTTCTGACATAATTAATGCATCCACGTCTTCCGTTAAGTTTTGATATATATGACGCCACAATGTAGGAACTTCAATGTGACTAAGATTGCTAGATATTCTATTCCATGCCTAAAAACATTATGAGTAACATGGATAGAGTTATCATTTCTTTAAAGACGATTTACTTTAGAAATAAAATTACTTGTTTTTTATTTGCTCCAGTCCAAAGGGTTATCACTGTATCTGACATTTCCATCAATCTTTTTGGATCTAACTCTTTACAAGTTGCTGGCATTAAATGTTGACAAACTAATCTCATATCATTGCAATCCCGAAGTTGTGTAATTGTTTCATCATGTTTCATTTTAAGTAAATCTCTTCTGCTTCTTATTTCAGAACGTTTAGATGAAATTTCTCTTTGCTTCTTAACTACATGAAAATAAACAATACAATAAACATAACAATGAAAATATGTATTAAATATGTTGTTTGTGAAATTCTTACCAATATACTTTCCAATAACATACCTATCTGTCTAATTACAAAATCTTGTTGCTCATATTCTTTTTCTAACTTAGATATTTCATTCTTCAAATCATTTGTTTCTGATTTCAGTTTTAACACATTTTTCTTACATTGAATAACTTTATTAGATGTTCCTTGCTTTAAATGATGTAGTAAAATATTTTTCCGTACTGTCTGTGCTTCTTGGGCACTGTGAATAACATCAGCTAAATCGTCCCAGAGGAGTCCAATAAATCCTGAGCATAATCTATTACAGACAAT